TTAAGTTATCAGAGAAACGAGCTAATGCTAACGTAAGCAGCAGCATTAGCAGCTAACGTTAGCATTAGCTTGGCTTGCAGCCCCTCTGGGACGTCCTTTGTCTGCCCAATAGTGTGGGAGAAGCAGTGATTTTCAGCTATGTTTAACACAAGGGGGAAGGACAGCTGGTAATCTGTAAAAATAAAAAGTTTATCTTTATTAAGACTTTTGAATTGAATCATTGGATCTCTATAATTCACTTTTCTGTGACCAGTGAATCCGCTCTGTTGGCCAATTACAACCGATCTGACAGAGCTGAGCCAAAGAGAAAGCTATCATATCTTATTAGCTATGTTGCCAACATCAGAGTATAAAGTGCTCCACACCAGAGACCTAGTTTACAGGAGACAGGAGGACATCATACAGATTAATAAACTATAGAGACTTATGTCCTGTTAGCTACTGAGCTAACTAGCATAGAAAGCTATTGTGGCTCAGCCCATCATATCATATCATATCAAAATAAAGAGATCCAGTCTGTAATCTTCAGCATGTGGACAGAATCTGTCCGTATTCTAACATATCATCACTTTGGATGCCTCCATTTTGTTGTGCATTTATTCCAGCGGCGGCTCACAAACTGTAACCTGTGACTCACTGCATCACCAAATATTTCAAGAACTTTGCTGCTAGGACGCTTCCTGGTCTAACTGAGCTTCAACAGTCTGCTAGCGCCCCCTTCAGGCTGCAGAGTTCAGGTCTGAACAGTGGGGGAAAGGGTATTACTCCTCTGAAGACTGTGAGCAGATATCATCTCAATAACTCTGAGCTTCATCATTGAAGTTTTATCAGGATCAGACACGTAATTTGGTTTTTATCAGTTTGTCCTGATGGTGGCGCTAAAGGAATGAGCGAGAGACATCAGAGATATTTATTGACGATCTGACCTATAGAAATATGAGTTAAATAAAACTGAATTAATCTGAAGATCTTTTTTAAACAAAAGGATATTTGGACACTTTGTGATGTCACTGGTGTCTTCTCTGAGGGGGTGGGACCTGAGAGTGATTGATGGGAACTGACAGTGGGTGTGGCCTGTGGCTGACAGGATGTTCAAATTGGATGATGGGAAATAATCATCTCAGAGAGAGAGAGTAATATCTCTTAAGAGCATTAACACAGAAACACGACATAGAAACACGCAAACATGGATCTACAACTACGCTTCAGAACCTCAGACTGACGGCCAGCTGCTGATGATTATTGATCACATCTGATGGCTTCTGCTGTCTTTTACAGTACTGATCAGTTTTCTCTGGTGAGAGAATCAAACGCTCTCTTAGTCTCCTGGTTTGGTTTAACCTTGTCATGTTAGCGGGCGTGTAAGCCGCAGCAAGGTGGAAATCAGATCCTGACAGATTATAGACTTAAGGAGCAGAAGCTGGTACATCGACCTCCTGCACGGGAACTTTTACCTCCTTAATTCCCTCATTTATCCTCCACTGACCCCCTTTCATAAAACTCTCTCTGTGGGCCTCTGAGCTCTGAAGTTAAAGTGTGATTCAGCTGAAAAACACTGATGATGAGCTACGGTTGGAAGGTTGGAATCAGGCTTTTCTCATTAGGAAGCTTAGAGATGATCCCGGTTTGTGCTCTCGGTGACCTCGAGAGACAAAAACGAGCCACGATTCAGTGAAATGAATAACGAGTCAACCTAACTTTCCTGGAAAGTGAGAAATAAAAAGTGTTGGTCAACAGTTTCCTTCTGACAGCAGGAACATAAAGTGTTTGTATCAATCGGTTGTTGGAGCTGTGTGACGGCAGCAGCAACCTACAGGGGGATATTTATCTGCAACCGATGATTGTTTTTATTGTTTTATTTGTTCTGTATTCAGTTCCTCAGACTTTAGTCCAGCTTGGTTCAGTTTACTGTGACACAGATATTCAGCCAACCAATCACATTTCCACAAATCTGACCAATTGAAGAATATTTCCCCACACTCGCTTGTCTGTAGTTGTGAAGATAAAAACTTTGACCTTCCAAACCCTGCAGTTTTATTCACTGAAACAAGTCACCTTCAATTTTTTATGAATTACAAAAAACAATCACAACAATTTTTGCAATTTTCAAAAAAAGCCTAAAAACATCACAACAGGCAGGGACAGACTGGACTCTGCAGGGACAGACTGGACTCTGGAGGGACAGACTGGTCTCTGCCGGGACAGACTGGTTTCTGCAGGGACAGACTGGTCTCTGCTGGGTACTCACTCTTTGACTGCGTCGTTGCTCATGTCCAGGTAGCGGTTGCTGATCCACTGCACCTCAAACCAGTCCCTGAAGTTGTTGTTACCGCAGCAGCGGAACTCGATCTGCGTCATGTCCAGTGTCCTCTTCATGAAGCAGCGTCCCGGCGTGTCCGTGTCTTTGTAAAACTTGATGCTGTTCTTCAGGCCCTCGGCCAGCGTCAGGTACACAGCGAACTGCATGAGGAAGCAGAGCATCGCCGTCAGCAGCAGCAGCGCGTTGAAGCCGCAGCACAGCAGCAGGTACGGCTTCAGCATCGGCTTCCACTTGGCGAACTTGATCGGGTCCAGAGAGTCGTGGCACACCTTCCCCCCGAAGGCGTTGACCCCGCAGGCCAACAAGCCCACCAGGATCAGCAGGTTGGGCACTAAATGGCTCTCGTTGTTGTCCATCATCTCACTTCTCTTCCGCAGCTCAATCTTAAAGAAGATACCGAGGCTGAAGATGAGGATCCCTACGATGACCGAGAGCCAGTAGATCATCCACAGACCCTGAGCCAGCTTCACCCGCTTCGGCAGGTTGAACTTCACCGGCATGAACGGCATTTTTAGCTGTCGGTGCAACCGGAACACTCAACTGAAATCAACACTGAACAACAGGAATCTAAAAGAAGCAGTTCGAGAATCCGTTGGAGTTTCAGACTTTTAATCCCTTCCAGAAAGACTCAACTCTCGGTTTCAGACCCATAATGCCAAGCTGCAGGTCAGGACAGTCCATAGTGCTGGGGGGGCACAGGGGTCCGCCATTAAATCACAACCAAATATTCACATAGAATCCGGCGACGGGTTCGACTCCAGGCTGCTGCGGAAGAAAAGGTGTGAATGTGAGCGAGCAGCGAGTCGTCCTCCAGAAGCTCAGCTGTGATCTCGTTAGCAGCAGATCAGCTTTAATCCGCTCACTGATAATTGGTTTGATGTTAAGCAGCAGCAGCTTCCTCCGGTCACAGCTCACCTGTCAGCTGCAGGTACGCTGTTACCATAGCAACCGGACAACCAATCACACACAGAATGTGTCACCAGAGGGTCGGGACCCCCACCACATTATTATTGATCAGTGTATATTATTAGTATTATTGATCAGTGTATATTATTAGTATTGATCACAGTGTATATTAGTATTGATCACAGTGTATATTATCATCATTATTGATCACAGTGTATATTATTATTATTGATCAGTGTATATTATTATTATTATTGATCACAGTGTACATTATTATTATTGATCACAGTGTATATTATTATTATTATTGATCACAGCGCTTATATTATCATTCATTGATCATGTATTAATTATGATCGTTGGTAATATTATTATTATTAATCAGTGTATATTATCATTATTGATCGCAGTGTACAGTGACAGAGCTTCAGTCTCTGATCAACAGCATCGTCCATCAGAAAGCAGCAGACAGCTTATAGAACAATGACAATAAACTCAAACAAACTGATCATAAATCCAGGTGATAAGTCCTTTTAAAGTTTTTAATGGTTTTTCTTATACAATATTGTACATTTACTCATTTATACAAGAATTCACATATTAACAGCAGAGAGAATGAAGCAGCGCAAGGAGGCGACATGCTGTGAAATAAACTAATAAATAAATAAATAAAGGAGATTTCTGTTCGTCACAAACTCAAAGCCATAAAAAACTAAACAGGAAGTGACTTCACACACGTTAAAACAACAAAACTGAACTAAAAAATCTGATATGATATCAGCCTTCCATTCTTTATCAATATCCGAGACGTGTTTGATATGTTGTCAATGAATAAAACACGACTCATATTCATATTACTAATATTCCTGTTTTCATTGATCGTTCCTTTTTGCAGGAGACACATCTAAACTGGGAATCTGTTGCCATGGAAACGCCTCAAAACAAAGCGAACATTAAGAAGGAATTTCACAATAAAAGCAATCCGCATGTAATAATTATCAATAATCAATTCAAATCAAACCTCTTTATTTTAAATGTTTCTTTAATAATCACAGGACTACATTACCCATGAGCCTCAGTGAACTGATCTCATTTTTTGCTTCAATGAAGCTCTGTGATTGGCTGCTTGTTAGTGAAATGCACCCTGTGAGTTCATCACAAACTGTCACTGAACTGTCTGAATCAGAAACGTGGGCGGCGGCTCTTTTTTCCCATGATGCCGAGAGGAAACAGAGGTTTTAATGTGATGGTTTTTGAATGAAAGCAAAAAAAAAAAAATAATAATAATAATTCACAGATGTAAAACAGTTGGAGGTTAGCTGTCAATCAACCTGAGTGACAGCGGCAGGTGGGCGGGGCTTCACTTTGGACTTTAAGATTCACAAACAAAAAAAAGTCAGAAAATCTCCCAAAACTAAATTTTCAATCTGAAGAAAATGTAATTAAAAAACTCTAAAAAGAAACGTTTACAACTTCCCGTCTGCGAGAGCGAGAACAGAGAGGATGGAGTTATTGCCTCTCTCTGATTGGTCAGGAGCCTCCAGGTCCTGAAAAATCCCTGAAAGCTGATCTGAGCTCAGCGCGGCGCTGCAGGAAGCTGATTGGTTGAGAGGATGGACTCGTTATTGAAAGGGGGCGAGGCAAAGAGCCAATCAGCAGCCATGTTTCTGAGTGTGGTCGGAGCCAAACATCACAGGTGCTGCCAGTCGATGGCGACCAACGTCTGATTGGCCTCCTGAGCGTGGCCGATGACCTCAGCGATACCGTGGTCACGCCACAGACGCTCGATCTTCCTGTAACGCTCGGCACACAGGTGGAGGGGGTTCCCCCGCCTGCAGACACACACAGGTGAACACACAGGTAAAGAGAGAGAGAGACAGGTAAACACAGGTAAACACACAGGTAAACACACAGGTAAAGAGAGACAGCGAGGCAGAGACAGACAGAGAGACAGAGAGACAGAGAGAGACAGACAGATACCCACTTGAGGCCCTGGTCAGTCTCTCCGTAGTCGTCCAGGTATGGAGGAGGATGGAAACAGCCCTTTGTCTTACCTGCAACAAACAACACCTGACTCTCTCTCACCCTGCACACACACACACACACACACACACACACACAGCATACATTAGCATGTAATTAGCTTGTTAGCATGCTAACATTGGGACTGAAGATGAGGATACAGAAGGCAACGTGCTAACTACTGACACTGTGAGTGTTTGGTGGGTTTACAGGTGGCCGTTGAACAGGTAAACAGAAGGAGCCGCAGTGAGAGAAAAGGTGCGTTACCTTAGGAAGAGGCCGAGGCCGGCCCCACAGGTGAAGGTGTGGGCGGTGCAGGCTCCTACGTCCTCTCCATCCACCTCCGTCTGACAGCAGTAACTCTGAGAGCAAAGCATGGAGCCACATACCAGACACAGAGTGGGAGCACGAGACTTATCCCCTCCTGACCGAGGACACCTGCACAGGTACAGTCAGTGAGACAGTCAGTGAGACAGTCAGTGAGTGAGACAGTCGTTTTGACACAGTCAGTGGAAGTGAGACACAGTTGTGTGGTTACATTGTGTACACTGGTTATGGATACGAGTTGTATGTCTATTGTGGCATGACTAAAGCTGGAGGCCTGATTGAGCAGGACGCTGTAATCTGCTGGAGATCGATCAATTGTTCTGACTGCTGGGGAACGACGATGGACTCCGCCCCCTGCATCCGTTCTGACGGCACACCTGCGATGACAGAACCAACCGGTAACACACAACACACACACACACAGCACACACACACACACAGCAGTGGTTGACGGATTGTATGAATCCAGGGATGTTACTGTTACGTGTGTGTGTGTTGTGTGTGTGTGTGTGTGTGTGTGTGTGTGTGTGTGTGTTACCTGTGTATGAGAGGCTCCAGCAGTGTGTGTTGGCTCTGGTGGAGCTGCAGCAGGTTGGAGGGCAGGCTGAGGTAGCTGCACAGCGCCTCCCACTGACCAGGACCTGCAACTACACACACAGTGACACACTGACTGATACTAACCTGCATATGTTGGACAATTAGCATCATTAGCATTAATAATTATCTATATGGACCCTAACCCTAACCCTGACAATACAGGAGGTTTTGGGGTTATTGAGGACGCTGGATCCATTTCTGACATTTTAAAATACAAAATGGACGTTTAAACCGGAAGTGGAAATATTTCAGCTCCCAGTGGCTGACTGTGAGTCATTGTGGGGCTGTTATTGTGTTACTGTGTGTAGTTACCCAGCAGGTCAGCAGGTGGCGCTGTAGAGTTCAGGTAGTGGAAGAAGAGGGCAGCAGCTCGCAGGAAGGGCAGGACGCCAGCTTTAACACATTGACACAGCTGCCACCCAGAGGACACCTCGGGTAGTACACTGACACGCACATACACATAAATCAATCTCAATTCTTTTTATATTTATTTATTGTTCATTAGTACTTGTTTATTTATTTCTAAACAATAGACATTAATAAATACACAATATATTGTATTCTTGACCATTACAGAAATTCATTTATTTTTTAATTGAATTAATGTAACTTTTATAATAGTTGTTTAATTATTTACTCATCTATTTAAATAACCATCACTAACCTTCACTAACCATCAATAATCATCAATAATTTGTATATTTGTATATTTTATGCACCAATGCACCAGGACACATTCCTCNNATTCCTTGTAGGTGTAAAAACCTAATTCTGATTCTGATAATCATCAATAACCATCAGTAATCATACTAACAATCAATAACCATCACTAACCATCACTAACCATCACTAATCATCAATAATCATCAATAACCATCAATTATCATTAAATGGGACCAACTTACCTGCCCAGGTAGTTCCTCAGCGTGTTGTAGAGCTGACAGGTGCACTCCTCCTCCTCTGATCCCACAGTGTCCTCATCCATACACACCTCCTCTACAGGGAGACAGGTAGAGACATAGACAGGTAGATACATAGACAGAGACACAGACAGGCAGAGACACAAACAGGAAGGGAAAGACTGGCAGAGACACAAACACGTGTGTGTGTCTCTGTGTGTGTGTGTGTGTGTGTGTGGTGTGTGTTGTGTGTGTGTGTTACCTGTGGTGGAGGTGAGTAAGATCTGGACCAGGTGAGCCACAGTGACCAGGTGAAGGAGGTGGAGGTGAGCAGAGTCTATAACTCTCTGTCTTGATTGGTCCAGACTGTGAACTGAGCTGTAGGACAACACACTGTACACCTGCAGAGAGGTAAAAGGATTCACACTGGATTCACACTGACAGTGAACTGGATTCCCACTGAACTCACACTGACAGTAAACTGGATTCACACTGGATTCACATTGATAGTGTACTGGATTCCCACTGACAGTAAACTGGATTCACACTGGATACACATTGATAGTGAACTGGATTCCCACTGACAGTGAACTGGATTCACACTGGATTCCCACTGGATTCCCACTAACAGTAAACTGGATTCACACTGATAGTGAACTGGATTCACACTGACAGTAAACTGGATTCACACTGGATTCACAGTAAACTGGATTCACACTGGATTCACACTGACAGTAAACTGGATGTAAATGTGCAGTGATGAAACTCACCAGCAGGTGAAACATGTCGATGTCAAGGATACACGGAGTGTTTTCAACCTGTGAGTCTGGAACCAGAGCTACAACACACACACACACACACATACATTACAACTAATTGTTAGTCACTGTGTGTGTATATAATGTGTGTATATATAGTGTGTATATAGTGTGTGTGTGTATATACAGTGTGTACCTGACAGCAGTCTGATGCAGTGTGTGTGTGCTGTGGCTGGTGGAGCTGCAGTCCAACAGGATGAACTGAACCTGGTCAGAGAGCTCAGACAGTCGTCCTGTAACACACACAGTCAGTTCAATCACAAACTATCAGCTTATTAAAAAATAATGAACAGTGATGTCATCCTGCTCCCTGCCCCAATCGGCCAATCAGAGGGTCTCTGTTGTAACCTGTAGTGAGTTACCTGTCGGCAAGGTAAACTTCCAAACAACGGCTTCTCCTCGTCCATCAGGAGGCGCTCTGCAAACAAACACACTGTCAGCACAACCTTTGACCTCTCAGGTCTCTGTTTGTGACCTCTGAGGTGTGTGTGTGTGTGTACCTATACTCTGGATGGTGTAGGCGCAGGTGGACCAGATCAGGACTTGGACTCTGGGGTCCTGCTCGTTGGGGTTCAGCTTCAGTCCCACCTTGTAGGTGGACATACTGAAGGTGGTGATCATCTCGCTAATGCTGCTTGAGAACGGGTTCCTGAGGGACACAGTGACATCATCCAGGTGAGTTCTCACAGGTGTATACTGGTTCACAAGGATCAGGAGCCTTCTGGTCTGGTCCACATTCAGGGACTACAGGTGGATCTAGACCAGACTGCTCTCTGGAGCTAAATGCTAACAAGCTCATGTTTAGCAGGCTAATTAGCAGAGTGCAGCTGAGGCTGATGGGAAACTCAGTAGTATGGACACATTCAATATGTCTGCACAATTAACATAATTATCAATATTAATTAACATGAATTAACATGATCATTAAAATATATGACTGATATCACAATGGCCAACTGACTCACTGTGGAGTGAAATCAACTCTGAATCCTTCAGGAACAACAGGCTCCGCCCCCTCTGATACACCTGAAACACACACACACACACACACACACACTATGGACTATAGTAGTAGTACAGTTATATATTACAGTAATGTAGTACAGTAATAATAGTACAGTAATAAAAGTACAGTAATATAGTACAGTACTAA